GAAGCTAGGAAAACTGCTCTAGGCGAGTTCTCCGAGGGGCTGCAGCCGCTGCTCCGTGTTTTAGCACGTCAGAGGCAGAGCTCACCATACGGGAGTGACCACAGACACCGTGTTAAACCCAGTGAAACCTCCACAAAAGAAAACAAGCACATCAAATGCCCTGTCAGCAAAGGAAAACTGAAATGTTTAACTTTGTTTAAAAATTATTAGGGAAAAAAGGGACTTTCGTAAACTAAAATGGCATCAATGCAGCACGCTCAGTTTCTTGGAAAACTCTGAAATTAATTAAGACAAAACCCTACATTCTGGCAGACAGAAAACATAATAATGGATCTGGCAATACAAATACCTGATAACTGTATCACAAAAACAATTGCCAAGGGACTTGTCTTGAATGGTTTGAGACCAGTAGCTTTGAGATGGGAATAGCTGAAGAGGAGAAAATCTGGACATGAAGTCTAACGGGCTTCAGCTTTCATCTGCCAAAATCTCAAGTATCGCTTTCCTACACAAACTAATCAAGCTGCTCTCCAGAACAAAAATTCCTATTTTACCCAGGTAATTCCACACCTTTTGCCTTTTTTTTCTTTTTTTTTTTTAAAAAAAAAAAAAACAACAAAACACACACAAAACAAATGAGAAATGACTAATCAAACCAAACCAGTCTAGAAAAGAAGAGAGCAGAAGGAGAACGCTTTCTTGCAGCTGTCAGAAACAGAAGCCCAGACCCCGGAGCCCCCCCCTTACACCTCCTCGGGGCACAGCCAGAGGAGCCAGCACCATCGGCTGCCATACTTCAAATAGACTTTTGACTTTACATTCTACTTTAATTTTTATTTCATTTCTCAGTTTTATGTAATTTTTTATTTCAACATTTTTCTGTATACCCTGGAGTCTCACTGTTTCCAGCACCGTTGGCTTTCCCCATCACATTTGCTCCACTTTTAGCTTTATCCTCCTGCAACACCACATACAAAGATCTCAAGATTCTTCAGTCTTATCAAACACCTACTCCTTATTTGTAGAGGGGACCCTACAGCCACTCAAGTCATCAGCAAAGCCCCCGCAGACCTGACTGAGCTGGAGGCAGCACACGAGGTGCTTGGTGGCCTTCTCACACTCCAGTCCGTGTGGAACACGACCACTGATGTGGTTTTTGAAGGGCAGGGAGGAATAACCTGCCTTTCAGGTGGTTATTAAAAACAGATTTGCTTTAATTGTTACCAAATTAAAAAAAAATAAAAATAAAAAAAGGAACTTCAATAGAGATGTTCTCCATGCACACTCATCGAAGTCAAGATTATTTGAAGTACAGGTAGGGCTGGGGAAGGACAGACACAGAACTCTGCTCCCGCCTTTCCTGCTTACAACATCGCTCAGACTCCTCAGCTCCAGCAAGTTACAGCAGCTTCACTCTCACACGAATTGCACGACACATTCACACAGCTCCGAATCAGGGCCACGGCAGAAACCAGCTTTCATAGATCAGAAACGACTGTTGTCAACCGTACGAGCAGTAAATGAACCCAAACGAGAATGATGCTGGCATTCCATTTCACCCCCCTTAGCACCAAGATAAGGATTAGGAACATTAATTTATTGAAATGACCACATCATACCGAAATTCAATTGGGTTTCTGATTTTTAACAGATATTAAGTGTTTAAATGTGAAGTCCGGAAGCGTTAAGAGTAGAAAATCCATGCCCTATACTAGGAGGGACTGTGGCTACAGTGGGCTCTTGGGCCAAAGGATTCTCTTGGGCCTTAACCTTAAATACAGAGTATTTTAAGTTTCTTCTTTCCCATCAATTTATTTCATCATTAAACGTTTCTAAGATCAGCGTGGTGACAAGCAAACAGCAAACATGATTTACAGAAGCTTCTCCCATCACAGAGCCAAGGGCACAGCAAACCTGCGCCATCCTCTCTCGACCAGCGCGTCCCACCGTCGTCTGCTTCCCCCAGGCCCAAAGACCCAGTGGGATCCTCCACAGCATCCCCCACAGGGAAAAGGCACAACAGGTTTTAAACTCCCCACGTATCCTGTACTCTACCATAGCTCTGCTTCTGATTTTCTTTTACAAACGTAAAATAAATTGTATTAAAATGAACTCGTAAAAGCTACCACCACATTCAGCATACTTCCAGTTCTCCCTCATCCATAGGATCTGGTGATTTGCTTCAAGGAAGCTCCAAGAAATCTCCCAAGGCAGGAAAAACACCGGAGTCTGGATCCTCGCCTGGCCAGTGCCTGCTGCCTCACCCCCAACAGCCCGCCTCGTTTCACTAACTGGCTATTTCTTACTAACTCACCCACCAAGTGTACTAGTCAGGCTGGCAGAAAGTAACACGGCCGAGCTGTAGGGCTGCAGAACTAATCATATTAAAGGCCTCCTTCAAAGGTAATACTCAATTATAAGATTATTGATTGAACAAACCACTGTGATTAGAAACACAGTTCTGCACAAGGCAGTGGTATAATATCGATCTCCAGTGTAATCAATTAACAGTGTACAAATAAGCACACAATGTTCAGCCTTACGGGCACCAATATACACGTAGCTTTAAGTCAGAAATAATTTAATCTTCCATTTCCAAGTTCATTCCCATTATGTGAACATCGCCTTGCATAAACTTTAGACAAGGAGAACACGGAAAGTTCACTAATTACCATGTTACTTCATAAGCCACACATGGATCAAAAAAAACACAGTTGCCCCCAGGGCCCACAGATGATGCTCTCTCCGAGATGTGTTTCTCTGAGAACAATAAGTCATCTTTAATAAACGCCAGCGCACGGATGTTTTTAACCGAGAGGCCGACAGGGTTACAGAGCACGCTGCACGCTCGGGATTACCTGTGCTTTGGGTGACACTTTCTTGATGCTTTCCCAGCTGTTAACTTCGGTGGCAATGGAGACATTTGGTTTTGACAGCGGAGAGCTGCCCTTGGCCAACTGGCCGTCTGTCCCTGCAAGCGAAGTCCAACCCAGCTCCAGCACCTCGCCCGCCGCGTTTCGGTGCGGCTGCAGAGCACCTGCTGGGTTTAAAGCTTCTGCACGGGCTTCTCCCCGCTCTCCCCTCAAGCCTGGCTGCTTCGTCAGCCCTTACAGAACCCCTCACCCCTCTCTCATCAGGCAGGGACGGCTGCTCGTGCTCTCTCATCAGGCAGGGACGGCTGCTCCTGCCCACACCCAGGCAGAGGGTGCCAGCCCAGCCGCAGAGCGGTCCCTGCCCCGCGGGCACCCCAACCCTCCTTCCCCCCTCCCCTCCGGCCCAGCACCAGCTGGGGAAGCTGTTCATCACGCTGGGGTTGACAAAGATAATCTAAACCCAACGCCTTCGAGTCCTCTCCTCCGCCAGCACAATAAAATGAATTTCATAACAGTGTTTTATGTCAGCCTCTGCGAAGGCGCTGGCCTTCCCTCCAGAGATGGTGATTAACAGGGAAGAACGGTTAGCTGAATCTCAAGTTTATTGCACATGGACTGGGCATTTTCAGGCTTTCTTTGCTAAAAAGCTACTATATATTCTGTAGGAGAAAACACCCAGAAGTGTGTGGTTTACTGTGAATGATTGATAATAGGATGATTGCTCAGGCACTCAAAGCGTGGTATTTGATAGCCTATCATCCACTCATTCGGAAGGAAAGGAACAATTATCATGGCCCGACATGTTTATCATCGCAGGGCTGAGCCAGTTATCGGAGGGGTAAGAGCTTCCCGGCATTATAATATTCGATCATGTCTAACACACTTCACGTTCTGCTCACCTCCGCAGCTGTAAATCACCAGTCCTGCGACTGCTCCTTCCCAGATCGCCCAAGCATCTCAATTCAGGGAAGGACACATCTGGCATGTAATTCTGCTTTTCAGCACAGATAAAGAATCATTTTTCCCCCCCCACTGAAGTCTCCTCTAAGATGCTCGCTTACAAACAGGCAAAATGGTTGCTGTGGGTCAAACAACGCTCCACGGGACACACCACCAGCTCCCTGCCCTACAGCAGCGACCAGCTCTGCTCTCTGTTCTTGTTCCAGTGCCGTCCTTTCTTGACAAAGTCCAAAAGATTTGGACCTTTTTTCCCACGGGCCAGTTTGCTTTTCAGACTCCCCAAACACAAAACCACTGCCGTACGCCCTTGGCCGGCGTTCATCTGGGTGGTTCTAACGGCTGCTCAACAGGAACAATAATTTCCGAGCTACATTCCTCATCAGAAGATTTCACCTGAACACCGAAAATCGTAATTGCATCTTTTCTGCAAGACTCAATCTCGCTGTGTTACACTTCAAGTACCAAAAAGATGGGAAATGCACCCTAATTTGAATTTTTAAATCAATTGGTACATAACATTTCTAAATATAGCCTTAAGCATTCAAAGTACAAATAGTTCAAAAAATTACCCTAAAGACTTTAAATCGGTCAGACTTCCACAGCGAGCCAGGGATGCACTTCCCAGCTGCCATACCCAGAGGGTCGTCACACAAAGTCACGCGAAGAAAGTAGCAATTTTTCCAGTAAGCAACCACATCTAAAACTATCGGGGAAAAAACAAAGCAAACAAAACCAAGGCTACGTTCTTCCAGCGTATTTTATAATTCTAAACACCCAAACAATCTACCTAAGTTTGAAACAAATCTTATCGTTTGTCGAGCAGACGCCTTTCAGCCGCCAACACTGCAACCTGAGGGTCTGGGGCAGAGACTCGGTGCCGCTGAGACCACGTTTCCTTACAGAAGCCGCAGCTCAGCTCACGCGCTGCCTGCCAACGTCAGAGCGACACGAACACTGCGGACGCGCGTGGAGTTCTGAGCTCACTTTTAACATGTGGTTTCAGAGAGCGCCTCTAAACTGCGCCAGGAAAAAAATAACTTTCATTCCAGATTACAGTAACACCGCTTCTATCCCCTGAATATTCACCACAGCACACCAAAACTCCCACTCTCTATGGCAACGTAACCCCAAAAAGCTGCCCATCAGTGCCACCAGGAGCGGCCTTACCTGGGAAAGGCGAAGCCAAGACCGGAATTTTGATCGGGGAGAAGGTCAGCACGTGGCAGGGCTGGACGCTGGGTGCCGAAGGCCCCTGGGGGGCTTCAGGCTCCACCGACACCATCGCGGCGGCGGCCGTGGTGGCCAACGCCAGGGTCTGATTGCTGCCGACTGGTTTAAGGCTATTCTGGCAACCACCTGCGGAAGGGCGAGATACAACAGATTTTATTTTTAAATAGAAACCGGTGGATTTACGTGCGAGGACGCTTCCAGCATCCCGAATTTCAACGCAAGACGGAGTAAAAGTTTGCAACATTTCCCACACAGCCATGCTTGCATGTCCCCCTTAGTGAGACGCTGGATTTTGAATACATTATGAAATATATTTCCTAAGGATTTTCAAAGCCCCTTTCCTAATCACTATTCTTAAAGTCCTAGCTTGTGGTTGGTGCATTTTTAGGTATTAAAACCCAATACACATGAACATATCGTTATAACCTAGAGGGACAAGACAGTAGTGAGTCATACAGAAACTGTGCAGAGTTATTAAATTTAGATGAAAAAAACTCAATAAAAAAAGTCAAATATTTGAACACATTGGCTGGCATTTTCTTCAGCTCCCACAGCTTCATAATGATGCATGACCGCCCTTATTCTGAATTTCCCTAAATACAAGTCATCTTATTTCAAATCAGAGTGGTTTTGCTACTTGCTTTATTAACCATCCGATGGTGCTGTCACCCGCCCGGCTGTTCTCCCGCACTGTGCACACAAACACCCCAGTTTTACAAGTTTTACACACTGGGATCCTTCATCCTGAAACCACACAGTGCAGGAAACTTCCAGTGGTTTCCCGTGGGAACTCAGAAGTCCCCCAAATCAAGGCTTCAGCGAATTTTCAACTATGTAATATCAACCTTGAAGCCTACCAAGCTTGGGGGGGAGACTTTCAGAGCTCAATCTTGGCTGAATACATTAAATAAACAAGAAAATGAGTAGTAAAAATCTTAAGGAGAAAACCTAATTTGACAAACACCAGCTGTTGCTCTCTCTACACTGAGCTATGTATTCAAAAATTAAGCAATCATTAGCTTATTATGTCATTCAGCAAATGTTTTCAGTTTATGTGGAAATCCTTCAGGCAAGAGCCAACTGTAGCTCTGCACAAAAAAATCACTATTTGATCAGACGCCTCACTCCAGGCGTTCCGTGAGCTCGCAGGATTTCTTTTCCTACGTGGACCCCCACGAGGGATTCGGCCCGTGACCACGGGACGTGAGACCGTCGGGGTGCTGGGGAGGGGGACGCAGCCCCTCGCAGCCCCGCCGCTCCCAGCAAGCCCCCAGCAGCTCGGTGACGATCGGATTCCCCTGCACAGCTCCATCAGACACCTCACCCAGGCTCCTCCGTCCTGCTCCAGCTTCTGACACCCACAAAGTTCTGACTTGCAGATGCCAAATGCTGTTTTGCTCCCAGCTGGCGCGGGGAAAAGGGGGGGGTCAGCGGGTTTTGGAAAGGACCCTGCTTTGGTCGCAGCTAATTGTGGCTCCTGAGGCTATTATACTAACGTTTGGCAGCTTTGCTCCTAACTCTTTACAAACAATTATTTGCCAACAAAATAAGCTCTGCATTAGCAAAACAGAAGTCAAATATTTTCACTAAGCATCACAAAAAAGAAACCCCACAAACTTCCATTATTTCTACTGTATTTGTCAATGCCAAGAAAAATTCACTTAAAACACCTGCATATGCACTGATTAACAGGCACACAGGCCAAAAAATACCAAACCCATATAAAATATGAGAGTTTAATCATTCAGCCATGGATAGATGAAAAACAGATTATTCTGCCAGAGTCACAATGGAAATTAAAAAAGAAAAAAAAAAAAAAATCAGTGCCCAACTAATCCAACTGTTTAATACAAGTTTATTGTTTATTTGCCTGAGGACTAGCACAGACCATTAGGTTAGGTTAAACACCTGGCCTCCAAAAGCCTGCACTCACTCCTAATTTGAGCTGTCTGCAGTTGGGAAAAATCCACAAAACATCTTCTGTAACTCTTATGAAAACTAATGTTGTCTATAAAAATGACTTTTCTACCGGCTTCCTACAGGGTACATAAGCAGAAAGGTTGTTTACTTCTCATTTGATTCTTTTATTTTGGAGAAGAAGATGCAATTTCCCCAAAGAGCCCAGGAAAGCAGCAAAATAACGTAAGCCTTGGCTGCCTGGATAGCCGAAGCCTTCCACCAGCACAGATGAGTAACGCTTCTGAAGCAGGGCTTCCTTATTAAAGTTTCATCAATCCCCTTATTAAAGTTTCATCAGTCAGTTGAAAGAGAAGTTTTGGTGATTTCCCTGCCTTTGATGAAGTTCTCTCTCCCCCTCTCCTGCTAAATAATTCCATGAAGAAAGGACTACCCCTGTAATTGTTAATACTTGAGAGGAGAGCATGGGCAGGGTGTCTCGGGGTCACCAAGCCCGCGCTCTTCCTTTGCAGTCAACTGAATGATCATCTCAGCAATTTATCAACCTGTAACATAACATATGATTTGCCAAAGCAGCTGGAAGCTGGCCCAGGACGTGACTTGTTGAGAGATAGGGACCTTCACCTACGCTCAGCGTAGCTGGAGAGAAGTTGTTCTTCTTAGAAACAAATCAGATTTTGCTGTATTTCCAAAATCTTCTAGAAAGCGTTTTTATAGAACCATCACTAACCACCCCACATTCACATTATTAATTTCAACGGTCAAATGCCTTGAAAACAGTAGTAAAATACTATCACCACCAATATACCCTTGAGGTAAAAAAAACCCTACAAATTATTTCCTAGCAATTTTGGTTTCCCCAAATCTGTTTTCGCCACGCCACGCTACATCCCGGGTAGGACGGTAATACTTGTCTGCTGAAATAACGAACCCCATTTCGGTGTCCTTCCCCAGCCTTCGGGCCCTGCTCTTCTCAGGCAAACCGATTAGGGGGAACCATCCGAGATGGGCAGCACGTTCTGACCCGAAGCGACTGAAAAGCAGCGAGAGCTGAAGCAGCAACGAAGAGATTACTCAGAGACAGTTCACCGACGGCGGGGAAACGCGGTGAAGGCTCTGGAACCGGGAGGCACAGCCATCACGGAGGACGACACGGGATCACCAACCACCTCCCTGCGGAAAAGGGCCTACAGGCACAGGCCCAGAAGAGCCGTTTCTGCCGTGCCTTCTCTTCTCTTCTCGCACAGCATCATCGACAAAAAGCTGGCGAGTTGTACCCCGTTTCCTGATCCAGAAGGCCCATTTTCACGTGACAGATCTGTGCCTGAACGCTGCGTAACCGAACCGTCAGGTACCGCTCCTGGGGTAGGAGAAACCAGCCGGGCCAGCACATGGCTCGATAGAACAGCCCAACCTCCAGCACCCCGGGGTTTTCAGGGCACCCAGCGCAGGCTGTGAGCCTTCCCCACACAGGCACGCAACCCCGACGGACAGACGCGGTGCCCCCACAGCACACGCCACGACGCACCGCCCTCAAGTAGTCTCCGCCGCCTGCCAGGGAGGAAGGAGACCATCAGCCACATAAAGGCCGACCCCGCTGAGACCCACCAGACGTACTGGGTCCAGCACAGAACGTGCCCAACGGCCTTTCCAAACTCCACCAAACTCCTCCGCTCCCCCAGTCTGCACCAGTGCCTGCTCTACGCTCACATACGGGCTCTGCAACCAGACACAGTACAACAAAACGTGCCTTTTGCCTACTGACATCATCTAACACATTAAAAATTGAAACCATGAGATCTTCCTCCTTGAAGAAAAAACACCCAAAAGAACAGAAATTACTTTACTTAACAAAAGTAAAGACTACTAACACTTCTGAGCTATGAAGATCCACTCTCACCCCAAAAGGGTAATTCAAGACCTTCCCTTTCAGATTAAAAAATTTACCACTTTCATGAAAACTTACTGTACAGACAATGTAATGAATTTTAAATTGCGCTGGGTTATTACAGTATTTCAGTCTTTGTCTTCAGTTTTGCCTACAGGAAGATATCTTTACCAAAGGGTTACGAATATCTTTCCCAAAAGACCCACATAAAATAAAAATTAAAAAAAAAAAAGGGGGGGGGGGGGGGAAAAGGAGGAAAAAATTTCAAGCAGGTTAAAGACCTTTTTGAACATTTCACCTGTCTTCCAGGAAAAAGTATTACCACACCAAGTATACACCACAGCACCATTACCAAGTATAATGTTCCTTGTAACTTTTTTTTTAATGATCTAATGAATCACTGGGTTTTGCTTATCCTCCCAGCCCATGAGGCACCACAAGTGCCCAAAGGCCCTGGAAGAGCTCTTCTGCATTAGGAGGTCCTCCTTCGGGGGAGGACCAAAGGACCCCAACCCAGACACTGACCGGGCTGCCTCCTCTTTTTCGCCTGGAATAGCCAAAAGACACAACTACAAACAGTTTTCCATTGCAATGTGCTTATCTGTCTCTGTCCAGTGAACGCACACCAAGCTTCTGGAACCACACAGCACTTGATTTCTACCAACGCTTTCCAACCACCAAACCTCCTGGTTCAGGGCTGTTTCCCATGGGAAAAGGGCAGCAGAACCCAACACTGCTAGGAAAAAAAAAAAAAAAAAAAAAAAAAAAAATCACACCAAGTATTGCGTAGCTTCCTAAGGGATCTGAAATGTTTTCCATGTATATTTAAAATAAAAAATATTTTGAAGGTTTTCAATTTAAATGTGTATGCTATGGAAGTCATATAAAGTTTAAACACCAATTTGATTAAATAGAAGTTAAATACTTTGACCCCAGAGTTAGTAAGAGTTAGTAATGCTGAGGTCCTCAGCCTCACCCATGGAAGGACGTACACCGTTCTCACTCCTTTTAAAAGCAATATGCAAGCTCCTTATTTTCAGTCACAAACCAACTGATCCCTAACACCCCGACAGCCTGTACCCCTGGTTTCTGGGGGTTCCCTCAGGCCCAGCACTGCTCTTCAGGCACCCACAGTGCCGCCCAGCCCCTCTGCCGCTGAGAGTGCTGCACCCAAGCACCGCGCAGCCCCAGCTGCTGCTTAAAAAGAAATAAATAAAAATTAAAAGTCCACCATTTTTGATCAGAAAACCATTTCAGAAACGTTTGCTGACGCTCAGCTGATGCTGCCCAACTCAGCGACAGCCTGGAACGGAGGGGCTGG